GAGATAATACGAGGCTTATACCTTTCTGTTTAGCTTTCTGCTAATGATAAGTTTTTTCTTTTCATTCTTTTATTTCTTTTACAGATGGAAAATTGAGGTGCTAAATGATATCTTTAATCTTAGGACTTTAGAAATATCTTAGAAAGTTTTGTAATCGTATGCCACAGAGATTAGAGTTTAATAAGGGTCTCTAAAGATTGGGGAAGACTTAAACCTACAAACTGTCCTGTTATTATGTAATCTGTGTGTCATGGCAATATCGATGTGCAATAATACTGGATGTGGACTTTCGCTTGTGGCCTCACAGCTCACAGGAATGCTGGAGACTCCTCATCCCCCATCTTTTAACTATGCTTTTGTTCTGTGTCTTTTATTATTTCTCTATTCTCTATTTCTATTATGTTCCATATCCTTGAACAGACCAGCCAAGACCGATTTTGCTTGGGAGCATAGCTAACTTCCAGCATAAAGTAATTCTATGAAAAGTCAAAAGGTAAGGTATATTCAAACTCACACTATATTTTATTTATTTATTTATTTTTTGAGACAGGAGTCTCACTCTGTTTGCCCAGGCTAGAGTGAGTGCCGTGGTGTCAGCCTCGCTCACAGCCTCGCTCAAGCGATCCTCCTGTCTCAGCCTCCTGAGTAGATGGACTACAGGCATATGCCACTATGCCAGCTATTTTTTTCTATATATATTAGTTGCCAATTTAATTTATTTGTATTTTTAGTAGAGACAGGGTCTCATTCTTGCTCCAGGCTGGTTTGAACTCCTGACCTCGAGCAATCTGCCTGGCTTGGCCTCAAAAGAGTGCTGGATTACAGGCGTGAGCCTCTCGCCCGGCCAACTATCATTTTAATAAAAGTTTAAATATTTTAATTTATACTCCAAACAGAAATTATTTAATTTTTTGGCACTTGTTTAAATTTTGTGGCCGCAGTGAGTTCCTCACTCTCCTTACTCTGACCTGCTGAGGTCTTAGGGATTGGGAGTTGAGACACAAGAGAGGTCTGTGGCTTTCCGACAAAGTGCTCTTGGATCTTTTGCAGCATTTTCACAAAAATCTCCTTATGTGTGCTCATGTTCAGAGGAGAGCGAGGCTTAGGAATGATCAGTGCCCTGGCCTCCTGTGCTAGTTTTTCCTTTTCTGTAAAATGGGGATGATGAATGGTCCACCCACCTGTATAGACTAATTCTGTTATGAGGATTGAGTGAATTCATACGTAAAATGCATTTAGAAGAGGCTTGACACAGGAGGTAACTACACACTAATTTTGGAATTTGCCAAGGGGATTGGCACCTGGCCCGCCTCACTGTTCCGCAGGTCGTCCGTTCCTGGCCTCTGCTCCTTTGGGCCCCGGGTCCTTTCCGCTGGCTCCTCTCGCTTCCTGACCTTCCTTCTGAGCTGGTCTTCCCGGGCCAGTGAGCCAACCACAGCCCATGGTCACACCTGAAGGTGCCCAGCCTACTCTGTGGGGATGGTAAACCGTTCTGACGACTATCTTTTCTGCTCAGCCACGATCATAACCGCGCGAACAACTTGGTGTCGGAATTTTAATTCTACCAAACATATTTCTCGACGCCTACCATCTATTGAATCCACCATAACTCTGTGATATAAAGTTGGTGGCTGTGGCGTCTCGGCCGCGGGAGGCGGGCCTGTGGCGGAAAAACGGGGGCCCCCCCTGGGGGGCCGGAGGCGTGGGCGTGGACCCGCACGGCCGCTCAGCCGGACGCGAGTGCTAGGGCCCGGGGCCCGGGCCGAGGAGCCGAGCGGCCTTGTTCAGGCTGGTTTTGAACTCCTGACCTCGAGCAATCCACCCGCCTCGGCCTCCCAGAGTGCTAGGATTACAGGCGTGAGACACTGCGCCCGGGCTGCATTAGGTATTTTGAATGAGGCCATCCAGCTGGGATTTAAACCTACATGGTCTGCTCCCATCTCCCTCACACTGTTACTTGGGGTCTACTCCATCTGAGATAGACCCTTTCCATCCAAGTGGGTTTCATTCATTCATTCATTTATTTTATTTTTGAGGGGAATGGGGGCCTCACTGTATTGCCCAGGCTGGCCTAGAACTCCTGGACTCAAGCAATCCTCCTGCCTTAGCCTACCCAGTAGCTGGTACTGCATGTGTACTCCACTGTGCTCAGTTTGGTTTTTATTAATTGAATAGTTTTC